AATTGTACGCTTTTAGGCTAACAGTAATAATGGAACGTTTGTTCATGGCACAGAATTCTACAATTTTTCTGTTATCACAGTGTAGAATTCCGTGGTTTTGGGTGAACGCAAAATTGGTTCGCCTAGATCTAGGCTATAATGGTGAACGCACACCGGGTGAGAATAGCCAAAAGACTCGCTACGCTATTCTCACCCGGGGTGAGAATAGACTTATGATTATCTTCTGTGACTGCGACAATTGAGTTTTTGTCAAATTTAAAGAAATGGGATTGGTCAGCAACAAGTCCGGATTCTGCTGATTGAAACTGTGATTTTCCCCGACTCTATATTTAGAGGGCTACTTAACCATCTGAATATATTCTGAACCTCCCCAAATTTGGCATCCACAAAGAAGAGAGGTCAATCTTTTCATCGCAGAGTTCCATTATCAAATGGAGCAAAATATTACAAAGATAATAGGTGGTTTCTTTATGGATGTTGTTTTCAATGTGTCGTCGATCACCGAGCGGAGTACTCCTGTATTATCGCAGATAGGTTAAGATTTATACAAGTTATTTTGAACAACTCCTCATAAAATGGTAACTTTTTTATAAAGTTAAAAGGTGGTAACATGTTTGTTGGCATGGCCCAAGCCAGAAAGGAAAAACCAGTGCACCTGATCAACCTTCCCACCAAGCCTGCTGTGATGTCATGGCTATGGAAAGCATGCTGATGATTGGATAGTTATTGTAATTTAATACTTTGAGACTTGAATTACCATGATGGAAAATATCTTCTCTCAGGAATCTGGACTCTCCAATAAATTTCTTACAATATATATACTGCTGTACATATTGGGTTAACTTTGAATAGTTTTACATGAATTTTGTGCTGATACGGAATTCACTATGACCACATTATTATGTCCACCCAGTGTTGACAATGGTTTTTGCAGAATCATAATGAAGTTACGTAGTGGTTGAGAACCTTAATAAAAGAAAATTGTTTCTTTTCATTGTTTCCTTCCACAGCAGTATTGCAAATCTTACCTGAGACCTTGAGCAATGGATGGACTAGTACAGGAATGGATTTAGTGGACTGACAAGGCTCAAGATGTAAGTACGCTTGTGTGCTGTGAGACTTGGATGGGTGTGTGTTCAGATGTTGTTCCACTCCTAGAACAGATGCAGACATTTACTTTGCAAAGTTTTTCTCATTCTTTGTTCGTGGTATTCGTTTTTTCACATTTTGTTTCTCGGACAGTTACCTTGAAAATATTTTTCCACTCTGCCCCATCTGAAGTGTGTAAATTTGTTATCTCTTTTAAATCTAGGTGGTTCTACGTGCCCATCTACACAATTAGGATCATTAAGGAGGCAGGATTCTGACCCTGCCTTTCAAGGCCAACCGTGGCTGAGAAGGGTACAACATATAGCATCCCGGCAGAAAGACCAGATACTCAAAATGTGTCCCCCGAGATACTCTATAAAAATGTTTCCCCACTTGACAATGAAACTCAGGCTTGGTCAAGGATTGAGTATAGTCACTCACTTAGAGTACTACATGTTGAACAGTGAATCCTAAAAGTAGAAAAGACACATTACTTCTGCTTCAGAAGAAAGATTGTCCCATAACATGTTAAGATAATCCTGTAAACCTGTGTTTTACTTGGGCCTCCTACGTGCAACAACGAAGGATGAAGGGCATACCACAACACCACAGGCGTAGGTCTCTCCATTAGTAGTGAATATTTCCCCAAAACATTTAATCTACCGTGTGTGTCTGTTTTCGTCTTTCTCAGGATTAAATTAGAAGTTCAGAGTAGCATTATTCTGAATCACTTAAGACAGAGTTTATTTGATTTTGAAAGAAACTTTCCAGCTAGCATTGAATTGCAATGATTAAGTTTTGAAAGGAGCGAGCAGCTCAGTGAAGTAGCTGTGCATTGGTCGCTACTGAGTTGTCGAATTGGACTGTACTGATTTATATCTCCAGATACATCCACTCAATTGGTGTACACGGATAGACACTGGCAAATTAACCATATCAAAAACCCAACCAAGGTTCTTTGCTTTCTTAGAAAGTGGCACAGTACTGCCTCCAATCATCATCAAAAATGTTCAGTCTCCCCATTAGCTTTCACACTGTATGTCAGAATGTATGCTGATTCAGTCAGTAGCAACTTACTCTCATTCATCCAGTAGATCTAACACATTTGTTAACAATGGACGTGGCCTCATCAAGGTTTTTGATGAGGTGATCCATAAATCTGTGCACCATCTGCTTAAATGAAATAGGAAAGTTGAAATTCCTCGTTGACATGGACAAGTGGCTGAGTCACACTGAGTGTAGGGTAAACACAACAGGAACTGTTTCAGGGGAGCTGTGCACTTGATGCTGAGTTGTTTCTTGTCGTTGTAGGGATATATCTGATGGTCTCTCGTATCAAACAAAGGCGATATGTCTTACAGTGAATGGATTTTTAGACATTGCTACTATTGTTGTAGCCTCATTTTGAGTTTTGTGTCTGTTAAGCTCAAATAGAGTATATAAATTTAAGAACCACATTTTCTGATTTGAGTTTACTCTATTTCAAGTGTCCTTTTTGCTTGAAATCAACTCCAATTTTTTGCTTAGCTGCAGAGCAGGGTCTCGTGGAGTTGCTCATTTTTCTTGTGGTCTTGATGTTGCTCTGCAGTGTAGATTTCTGCCAAGAAGTATACAGACTTTGTGATTTCGGGGAAGGCGAAGAAGAAGCATTGTGGTTTTTCCATAAATTATTTACTTTGAATTAAGTTTGTAGCAAAGGGAGTTACCTCTGTTCTATTCAGTTGTGGCCAAAACTCATAGAATTCACTGATTACAAAGTTGCCTTTGTTTCTAAGGCGAGACTACTAAGTGACTACAGTGACTAAAAGATGGTCTAGCAGTTTCAGGAATCTGACTTTTAAGTCACACGTTTTGGTACTTTGTTGAATTCACTCTGTGTACTGTTCAGTTCAGGGCTCCTTTTTTCTCCAGCTATTTCCATTGTGATACAGTCTCTTAAATTTGTTGTTATATATTACAGTTAAAGCCTCTATATATTTGTGGTGGGGGGTGCTCTGGTGTGGTTGGCTCCTTTTTTTCCTGTCAAATATCTATTGTCCTTTTCTTTCCTTTTTTTGTTGGTGTACTTTACTCTCTTGTAACACTTGTAGGCCTATTCCCTGGCAATATGCCCTAGTAAGTATGCTTGCAAAGTTCACTCTCCATTTTAAAACAGGGCGGCTCTATTTCTCCGAACGTTCAGGAAAATAAACTTGAACCCTATTTCTCTGAACGGTTTCCGCTCTCGAGATTTGTTGATAATAAACGAATGGAGTGGCCCGTGTGTGTGTGTGTGTGTGTGTAAGGTATGTGTGTGTGTGTAAGGTGTGAACAGGGGGGGCGTGGAGGGATTTTTTTTTTACATGAAGGATTTTAGTTTTTGCTGAGTGACTAAATGCAGAATGGCAGAATGAAATAATTGAAAGGATGACACCTAAATCTCGCAAATAACCCTAAAAATCTTGAGATTGGAAACCGTTCGGAGAAATAGAGTTCAGCTTTATTTTCCCGAACGTTCAAAGAAATAGTCACTTCGTTTTAAAAAAAACCCAAAACACATAGGACAACATGCATAATGCAGGTTAAAACGCGCCACATTTTCATGTCATACAGCTTTGAAGTTTACACTTTAGCCAAAGTTAAGGCCATCTATTTTTCATGTCTCTCTTTTGGGACGAAGATCGTTTTATTGATTTGTAGTCATCATATCCAACTCTCACTGTCCGCATTGTAGATCTAATGCTCTGTGAAATAACAGTAGTTACCCTAATACTAGAAATGGACAACT